TAGGGGCGTCGGGGGTGGAGCAGGGCCGCGTCCCCCCAGCCATGGAGGGGGGGTGTCCCCTGCACAGGTGGCTGGGGACATGGGGCAGGGGGTTGGGGTTGGCTGCCCCCATCACAGCTGTGAGCTGTGGGCTGGCACAGGCTCCCCACCGGCCTGGAGGACGTCTCCACCTACCCTGCACTGGTGGCTGAGCTGCTGGCGAGGAACTGGACAGAGGCAGAGGTGAAACTGGCCCTGGCTGAAAACCTGCTCCGTGTCTTTGAGAAGGTGGAGGAGGTGAGAGCAACACAGGGAGTCCCCATGCAGGGGGTTGTGACTGGATCGTCTTTAATGTCCCTTTCCTCCAAAACCAGTCTGGGATTCTGGGATTATACATCAGGCCATAAGGCACTCAGGGGTCTGTGGGGACATGAGATGGCACAGGGACACCAGGGCAGGGGGCTGAAGGGGATCACGGGGACATGCAGGGCTTGGTGACACGCACAGTGACAAGGGCTGGATGTGGCACGGGGACTGTCCCTCACCCACCCTGTCCCTGGTGCAGACCAAGGTGGCCCTGCAAGGCACAGCAGCCCAGGAGACACCCATTGCCTTCGAGGAGCTGGAGGGGACGTGCAGGACCCTCTACGGCTACCCCAGCAGCGCCAGCACCGCCCGGCTCCCAGCGCTGGCCCTGGCCCTGGCCCTGCTCCCTGCCCTGCTCTCCTAGCACCCCCCGGTGCAGCCCCGTTCCCAGCCCGCTGGGATGCTGGTGGCTGATGCAGCAGCTGTGGGGCTGGGCCCACCCTCCCCAGCCAAATAAATCCGAGCTTCCAGGACCGGCAGCAGGGTGTGTTCATGCCAGGACCCTGTGGGGGCAGCCACTCCTGCCCCTGCATGTCAGCGGCCACCCCGGCATGTCACCAGCCACACCAGCACTGTGCTGGCCACACTGGCCCAGCAGAGGCACAGGGGGCCCGCTGGGCACCCAGCCTGGGCACCCAGCCTGTGCCCCCAGCAGGGCAGGACTGCTCCGGGAGTGACGCATCGCTGGAACACACAGCCAGGGGGGCTGCAGGGCCACCCCTGCAGGATGCCTACATTAATCATTAGCTAATTAATGGTCTACTCAATTATCTTCTTAGCAATTTCCGCTCGCAATTTGGGAACAGCCTGTCTTCCGACTGGAGGCAGCTTTGGGCACTGGGAAAACAGGCAGGAGAGGGACCTTCTGGTGGCACTCACAGATTGGCTGAGGCACCGAGCCCTGACTGCTGGGATGGCACAGGGAGGGGATGGGGAGAAGATGGGGACAGGATGGGCACAGGGAGGGAATGGGCACAGATCCACAAAGCTCCCCCCCCCCATCACTTCTGAACCACAGCGGAGGTGAAGGTTGTTTATTTAGAGATCAACAAGGCTGGGAGAAGAAAAAGGCAAATGAGACAAGCCTTAAAAAAACCCAACACAACACAAATAACACAGAGAACCATCCCCCAAAGGAGAAGCACTTCCAGGGGCCCTGGCCCCCAGCCCCGCGGGTGGCACCCGGGCAGGACCACACTCCTGTGCCCAGCGGGAGCAGGACCCGGTGGCCCCGGGAAGTGTCACAAAACCCAACGCTCCACCGCACACAAGGGACTTCGTAGCCTGAAGCCACCTCCTTGCCTTCAGTCCCCACCCCAGGTCCCCATGGTGGCACAGGGAAGGTCAGGACCACGGGCTGCCAAGGCCACCGAGCTCGGAAGAAAGAATCAAAAGCGTGAGAAGTGTTTGTGCTGCTGGTGCTGGGCTGAGCT